TCCGGGCCTGAAACAACCTTCCCCAGAATCTCACATTCCTTCAACAGTTTGCGCCCTCCTCCCACCAAAACAAACAAACAAACAAAAACCAAAAACCCCCCCGAAAGCTCGGTATCCAAGCACCGGAAACAGCGATACCTCCCGAGGGGACGTCATCAATAGTCGCCGGGTTAGACCCGGCGCTTACTTCCTCTCACGGTCTCTCCTCAATTTGTTTCCCCTCTGTATGCGTCCCTATAGCTGGACTAAGCAGCGATGGCACTTGCCGCACCGACCCCATTCCTTCCAAACCCATCTCGAGCTAGGGTTTGACCCCGGGAGCTCCTGAACGTTAGCGAGTCAATTCGTTCTTTCACTCCGGGCGTCTTTTATGCTAAAACAAAATGCTGGGCTTGCTCCTTTTCCATATGTTGAACCTTTCCCCCAATTTGTGTTCTAGGTTGATTTGAAAACTTATCAATCATTCTTACGTGAGAATTAATTTTCTCAGTTTATTGTGATTCATTTAAGCTCCTGGATCAATCCTGACCTCCAATGTGCTATTTCTGATGTGTTCATCTTGAATCTGTAACTTTCTACTGTGTTTCTCATTTTTGTGTCTCATACCTAACTCTCCCTGTATGCCTGAAGCACGGGGCCTTTTTGAAACTACAATTTCTAGGTTGGACTCTCCACTCATTTTTTTTTTAAATCAAAATCATGATATCTTGAGCAAAATATTGAAGCATGCTATTCCATTGCTTCCTGTTCTGGAGCATGGTGATAAGCAATGCATACCTCTAACGCACTAATGAAAAGAGAAGCAATATACTGAACTAGAAATTATCCTTCACGAAATTGACAGAATAAACTGCTGGAATAAATAATAAATGGTAACAGCTAGATTTGGAGTTGTAGACAATAGAACAGTGCTTACACATCCATTTTTTTTTCATTTATCCCTAATATCATTTTGGTAGTTGTTAAATACACTCTTCCCACCTCTCCTTTATGTTCCGTGGTAGTTTAAAGTCAGCTAGATCTCCTGTGTTGCCCCACCCACCTACCCTCTGCCCCGCCCCATGTCGAATATTGGGACTTCTCAAAGGCTTGGTCTTTGTGCTACAATAATATATCTTGTTATCCACAGAATAGTTTGCCAGTGTTGATCTTACTTTTATTTTTACTTAGACTCCACAAATCTCTGATCTTAACATACTCAGTTAAGGAAATGACAAAATGCTTCAAGATTTTGTTATAAAAGCAGGTGTGATTATCTAAAGTGAATATACTAGATAACTTCCCCTTCCAGTATATTCCAGTATAGTTCCACAACTGTCCACTTCTGTTCATTTTGTAGTCTCTGGATCAAAAAAAAAGACCACTCAGCAGCAGCAAAAATAAAAACCTTCTCTACTAATCTATCTTATACAAACCACTTGCCACATTGTTCATTTTAGTCCACTCTTTTTATTATCGGCTTCCTAATTATCTGGTTTCCCTATTGCCTCATAAGAAATAAGTCTAAAACACAGTGCTGTAAAACCCTCTATTTGTTTTGGACTCAGAGTCTGTGCTGCTGGAGTTGAGACAGAGCTAGTTGTAGATGTGCATTACTTCAATCCCGGCAGTTGAGAGGCAGAGGCCAAAGGATATTTGTGAGTTAGAGACCCACCTGGTCTCCATAGACAATTCCAGGTCATTCAGGACTACATACCGGGACTCTGTCTCAAAGGAAAAAGGAGCTGACACAAAATACAACATTTACAGGTACCTCCTACATGAAGTGAAACAAGCCAGGCTTTTGGAGAAATGCAAATACTTTATGTTCTCACCTTTGTGTAATCTAAATCCATTACAGTCACGGAAGAAAAAAGAGTGGGGGTGAGTGGAGAGATGGTGGCCAAAATATGAAAAGTTTCAATTAGATAGGAGGAATATTTTTTCAAATTATTTTCATTTATTTATTTTGTGTATGAGTGTTTGACTGCTTATACATCGGTGCACCCTATGTGTACCTGGTGCCTGCAAAGGCCGGAAGAGAGCATTGGATTCCCTGGAACTGGAGCTGCCTTGCGGGTGCTGGGAATTGAACCTGGGTCCTCTGCAAGAGCAGCCAGCTCTCTCAACTGCTGAGCTATATCTCTCCAGTCGTAGGGGAATGATTTTTGAGATCTCTCATCAGAATGATCACTATGATAATAAAAGGGTATTGGTGCAGGGAAAAGGGGCTGGCTAAAGAAACCCACCCTGATTTTGATAATTAAGGTCTCAAGGGGTGAAACGTGCCATGTGGTAAAATAAAGTCAAGTGAAGTTAAAAAGAAAACTGTGGAAAGAAGTGCTCTGGAGCCAACACATGACTTTATCCAAAGGCTCCTTGTCACATGGCACAGAAACTGTGCCTTAAAGGTGGTATGAAAAAAACCACAACAGTCAAAAATTACTTTAACAACTGTAATTACTATTTGTCTTAAGAAACAAGAATAGCAAAAATGATTTGGGAGAAAGAAAGAAAGAAAGAAAGAGAGAGAGAGAGAGAGAGAGAGAGAGAGAGAGAAAGAAAGAAAGAAAGAAAGAAAGAAAGAAAGAAAGAAAGAAAGAAAGAAAGAAAGAAAGAAACCCTGACCCTAGAGTACAGAACTAAGGAAAGATGGCTCAGATCAGGGCAGAAAGAAACACAGTTTGGTTCAGTCAGATCAGAGCCATCCCTTCCCCTGGCAAACTGACTTGTGAAACCAACCAATCACACAGTAGCACCCTGTCCCTGGGGCCCAGAATCGGGTAAAGAAACACAGTCTGGATTTGGGACCTGGGCCAGGGAAATGAACACTTTATCCCAAACCCAGAACCAAGGGAACATGCCCTGACTCTGAATCTAGTGCCAAGGTAACACTCTTGGCCCCTAGAATCAGAGTCAGTGAAAGAAATGTGCCCTGGCCTTAGAGGTAGTGTCAAAAAGCCAAGAAAGTCCAGTGAAAGAAACACAGTTTGGCTCTGGAATTAGGGCCAGCTCTGCCCCAGCTCACAAAACTGACCAGTCCCTGGGCAGAAAAAAACTAAAAATCACTGGTTGACTCTGCCCGGGAGACATCCTATACAAACCACCCTGCCTGGTCAGTTGTGGGCTGTTCTCTCCACCCTGGTAGAGGCAGTTAACTCTCTTGGACTCCTCCTTCCCATAAATCTCTTTCTCAAAAAAGTTTTGAGTGTAAAGATCTTCATTTGCTGGCACAGAGAAGAATCTTGCTAAGATGTCCCTTAGTGGACTGAGAAGAAAAAACCTTGCAGAGATGTTCCCTTAGGGGGGCTAAGTGAGGTGGAGCTGAACAGCAGAACTTTGCTGAGAAGTGCCTGAGCAAGGTGGAGCAGAGAAATTAACTCTTCGCTGGAGCTGGAGGAGATGGCTACATTTCTTCAGGGGTTTTCCCTTTTGCAGTGTGAAGCAAAGGAAGCAACATCTTAGTCCAGAGAAGCCGAGCTCTGCTGGGATGTCCCCTTAATTGGGGACTGAGTAAAGCTCAGCTGTAGCAGCTCTCCAGGAGAAGGGCAAGATTGCTATATCCCGTGGGGAGACCATCCATCCTCCACTGCAACAGGTATACCCTGACTCTCCTGAGGATACCCTTCTCTGCTGAAGCAGTTCCAGGCCTGACTCTCCCAAACAGTCAGAAAAATGTTCCCTCCAGGGCAACGGGGATACTTCACCCTCCAGCTGTCAGCTGTTCTATGCGGCTACCTTGCTGTCTCATCATAGCTCCAGCTGTTGCCTGATTCCCAAGTGGTCAGGATACCTCTTCCCAGAGTTGCAAAACTCACATTTTGGTGCCAAAATCCAGGACCAAATTCACAGAGTTGCACCAAGTTTACTTACAATTGGACTTTGAAAATTACTCTGAGTATATTTCTAATTTTCATCTCAGATAAGCTAAGCATGTCACGTAATGGTTATATTAATTTGCTTGACTGAATCATTCTGAGACAAATTTAAAACCACAAAGAAAAGTTTGGAGATATCTAACAAGGGAAGAACAACATCACCCCAAAATCTGAGAAAAAAAAAAAAAACACTTCACCACAACTGAGGAAATTCAAGTTGCCTACAAAAACAATGCCCCCTTTCCCAAAGATATTTTAAACAATGTTGGTTAAAAACAACAAATGAACTATTTACTCAAAACTTTAATGTCTGTGATCTTGAATTTAACTATACTGGCCCTTGTCCTGTTATTCCTGAACAATGCAACTGATAAAAACTGTAGGGAAAAGGGGCCAGACAAAGAAACCCACCCTGGCCCTGAAACCAGAGCCAGTGAAAGAAACCCACCCTGACCTGGAAATCAGAGCCAAAGAAACCCACCCTGGCGCTGAAACTAGAGCCAGTGAAAGAAACACACCCTGATCCTGAGACCAGAGCCAGTGAAAGAAACACTTTAGCCCTGGACCCAGAACTTAATAAACACGCCCTGACTCTGAAACCAGTGCCAAAGAAACACACTTTGGCCCCAGAATCAGAGCCAGCGAAAGAAATTTGTCCTGATCCTGAAATTAGAGCCAAAAGGCTAAAAAGGGCCAGTGAAAGAAACACACTTTGGCCCTGACCAACTAAGCAGAAAAGTAACCAATCCCTGAGCAGAAAAAATGAACCAATCCCTGAGCACAAAACCAACCAATCCCTGAGCACGAGATGTAGCCAATCAGGGATCAAGGACTTGAAATCTGACCAATCCCTGCCCTGAAAATCTTCTCCCTGGAAAAACCCCGCCCCTAAGAATCCCTATATAAGCCCTGTGTCTGTCCAGCTTGCTCCCACCGATCCCCTTCCCTGCTGCCTTCCACCGAAGAAGTCTCTTGAAGGAGGTTTGGGTGAGACCATCTTTCGCCTGAGCAGAGACAAGCTGAGCGGAGCGGAGCGGAGCTGAGCGGAGCGGAGTGGAGCTGGGGAAACCCTCCCCTAAGCGGAGCAGAGCGGAGCTGGGGAAACCCTCCCCTAGCGGAGCGGAGCTGGGGAAACCCTCCCCTAGCGGAGCGGAGAAGAGCAGAGCAGAGCAGAGCAGAGCGGAGCTGGGGAAACCCTCCCCTAAGCGGAGCGGAGCGGAGCGGAGCGGAGCTGGGGAAACCCTCCCCTAGCAGAGCAGAGCAGAGCGGAGCTGGGGAAACCTTCCCCTAGCGGAGCAGAGCTGTTAACACTCCAGAAGCCAGACGAGAACTGGAACAACTTTGCTGGGGAAACCAAACCCTCCCCTACCAGAGCAGAGCTGTTACACTGGAGAAGCCTTTCCCTGGAGCAGGGCTGTAAGCTACTATGCTTACTGTGTGTGATGTGGTATTCCTTGGCTCCTGATTACCAGAATACTTTTCCATCAAAGCTGTAACACTTAGTATTCCTTGGTTCCTGAGTGCCAGAATATTTTTTCCATCCAAGCTGCAATGCTTACAAAAACACTTTAACAATTACATTTAGAAAAGAAAAGTAAAATAAGTAAACCAGCTCACATTTTTTATAATTTAATTTTAAGCCTAACATAAATTATATCCTCTGAGCAGTTTAAAAGGCACAAAAAACATACACATATCTAGTGATATGTGAGTCTGAGGGGAAGAGGAAGGAGACAAGAGAGGGTAATGGGTATTAATACCGAAATAGGTTGTGTATTATGCATGAAAATGTCAATGAAAACCACTGTCCTATATAATTAATATATACTAATAAAAACATAGTATACCTCTCCCTCATGAGATGCTCAGAACCATGTCTTATGTGTATACCGCCCCCTTAATGTCCATGTTAAATTTGCTGTGTATTACTCAATATCCCTACTTTATAAGCTCCCTAACATGCTTCATTAAAGCTCATCCTGATTTTGCTGACTCCCCATGGGAGCCCTTACCCTTTTGGAGGAGAGGATGGGGAGTGGGTCTGGCAGCAGGGGAAGGCTAAGGAGGAGTGGGAGGAGGGATGAGAGGGGGATCTGTGGTTGGTGTGCAAAATGCATTAAAATTTTTCTTAAATAAAAAAAAGCTCATCCTGAAATAGTTTTCACTGACATCATCATGTATCTGGGATGAATCTCACTGCCTACATTGATATACATGTAACGTAACATCACATTGAACCTCATTACCATACTCGTTAACAGTCATAGAGATACAAATAAAAGTAAATGAAAAGTTTTCTATGCAGTGTGCAACAAAATCTTTCTGTCTTTGTCTCTGAGCTAATTTCACTCAGATAGGACCACTGACAATGTGCCTAGCCATGCACAGAGATATCCTTTAGTAAGGAGTCCCCCCCAAAAAATAAATGCCAGACCTGTCAGTTAAATGAACCACAGCAAGAATCCTCCTGCTTGACACCAGGAGAAAGACCTGTTTGATAACTTGGGTCTGAGGCAGGATAAAAGGCCATGGAAAATTATGGGGGCATGAAAATGCAAAGAAGGGGCTGGAGACATGACTCAGTGGACTTGTTGATCTTCCAGAGGCCTACATTCAATCCCTAGTATCCACATGGTGGACTACAACTGTTTGTAACTTCAGTTACAGGGGAGCTGACTCCCTATTCCAGCACCTGGTCCTCTACATATATATTGGGGCTTCTAGTTTAGTATTTTTATGGGATTCTTATGTGTGCAAATGAGAGGGTCTCTGATTCTTGTGCCTGCTCTTGGACTCTTTTCCTTCTGTTGGTTTGTCTTGTCTAACTTCAATGTGGTAGTTTTTGTTTTATCTTATTATATTTTATTTTGTTATATTTTTTTTTAAAAGTGAATGAAAGAAAACCTAGCCACTAGGGTAAAGGTTAACAAATGAACTGTCATTTATGCCTCCTGGGAGAGGGAAAATCAGTTTTCTCCAATACAGTAACACTGGGTATATCAACCACTCCAAGACAGGAGTCATGTTCATGAGTTGTTGACCAACTTATCATGGACTCCACAGTTGTTATTTGTGTGTGTGTGTGTGTGTGTGTGTGTGTGTGTGTGTGTGTGTGTGTTTCTGTGCACGCATATGGGCACTTGTGAGTGCTTTTATTTGGTTACAATTGGGTGGTTTGTGGTTTTTTTGGCGTTGTTTATTTTGTTTTCTTGGTTTGGGGGGGTTTATTTTTGTATTGGGTTTTTGTTTGTTTTCTGAGAAAGAACTGAAAAGTTGGGTGAGTAGGGAGGGGAAAGGCTCTGGGTCAGGGGAAGAATATGATCAAAATATATTTAAATTAAAAAATTGTTTTAAAATGATAAAAATATAAATGAAAATAAGAGACACAGTGGCTTTGAACATTCCTACAAAGGTAAGAAAGTAAAACAGATGCAAGTCAGTTGGCCTCTGGCAGGTTAGGAGCCATTAAAGATGTTTCTAGACTTCTCAGTTAAAGGCAGTGTGTCTATATAAGGGAATCTTTACCTACTGTGTTATGGGATTTTTGTTGTTAAGATTTTCAGAAACAAACTTCTGCTCATATTTAATGGTTTCTTCTTCAATGAAGTTCTGAAATCTAGGTCACAGGCAGGATCACTTTTGCAAGGTAAAACAAAACAAGGCTTAGGACTCCTGAAGTGTTGGTCCATTCTGTGGGTTAGAGGGCTGAGAATTACTGTAATATCCTTAAGAATTTGACTTCTCGTTCAGATGCCAGCACACCTGATGCAAATACATTTATAATCGTCAAGTGTCTGGGTCTATTCTTTGCACTATGTGAGAGGGGTTGTAAAGGGATAACTACTTTCAAAGGTTTCAAAATGACATTTATTGTGTATGACACTGTGAAGGCTAGTTGGACTCATTTGCTAAGGAGTAAAGGTCCATAAATTACAAGAACAAACAAACAAACAAAGATAGCCATTTGAAAGCCACATAAGGGCAATTCTCTCCTGAGAAGCCCATACACGTCTCAGGATTATAGACTGTCTTTTTCCTACGCCTTTCTAGCTAAACAATAAATAAGTTCACTAACTTTGCTTCACTTTGGCTTGTCCTGAAATTATTTCTATATCATAATCAAGGAACTGCCTTTACCTGAGCAGAAATCCTAAGGAAAAAGGTGACTTCCCAGGCTTCTAGTAGCTTATATATTGCTTCTCCCGGCCTCCCTGCCCCCCTTCCTCCTACTCGCTACAGCTAAACCTTCAGGTGCATATAATCTCTTCTATGAGTTGTAACACTGATATAGGCAAGGCTAAGAAATACTGAGAAAATTTTGCTCCCCAATTTGGGTACAACTCTAAATAAACTCATTTTCATTTTTTAAAATTATTTCCTTCCGGGCGGTGGTGGCACACGCCTTTAATCCAAGCACTCGGGAGGCAGAACCAGGTGGATCTCTGTGAGTTCGAGGCCAGCCTGGGCTACCAAGTGAGTTCCAGGAAAGGCGCAAAGCTACACAGAGAAACCCTGTCTCGAAAAACCAAAAAAATTCCATTAAAGGCCTGCAAAATAGCCTAGTCCCATATCTACATGAAGGTAAAAAAGAGCTAGAGAGATGGCTAGGAGATTATGTGCACTGGCTGCTCTTGCAGAGGACCCAGGTACTATTCCCAGCACCCACAGGGTGACTCACCAACTGTTGTTAATTCCAATCCCAGGGAATCCAATGTCCTCTTCTGGCTTCCTAGGCATGCACATGGTGTACAAATATATATGCAGGCAAAATGTCCACATACATTAAATCTGAATGTATGTTTGTGTACCACTTGCATTCCCAGTACCCACAGATGCCAGAATAGAGCATCAGATTCTCTGGAACTGGAGTTACAGATGGTTGTGAGCCATCATTCAGATGCTGAGAACTGAACTCAGATCCTCTGCAAGAGCAGTAAGTTCTCTTAACTGCTGAGCCATCTCTCCAGCCCAAAATAATAATTTTTTTAAAGGCAGAACTAAGCCAACAAAGTTGTCTTCTGACCACCACACACTCCCTGTGGTAACACACAAATTATGAATACCCACTCATGTGTGCATCTCTTAATGCGATCCTAAGCTCAGTAGTATTGGCATTTCCCCCTGTAGGGGACGTAGTGGCCTATGCTTTAACTACCTTTGCAGCTGACTCAGAAGCATGGAGAAGTTTGAGAATCACTGACTTACACTGCTTGTAATAGCACTGACTTTCTGGCTTATAAAGCAGAAGGCTGCAAAATTCAGAAGAATTACAATTTTATGGTAGGGGCACAGTTCCCTGACATGAAATGAGTTCTTTGCAAAGTAAAAGTGCACACAAATATGTCAAATGTTCAGACCAGCAAACTTGGGAGTTCTGCACTGTGCTGACCTAACTCAAGATCACAGGCTGAACCTCTGAGGGGATACTTTGTGGCTGGGTAAGGTGAATTCCCTTACTTCGTTCCTTCCATTATATGGGAAACACTCTCAACCAACCAACCAAACAAACAAACAAAAAACTCGTTTGGGCTTGCATGCTGCTCAGTTTTCCCAAGTGGCTGCACAAGGAACCAAACTAGGAATATCAAAGGTCTGAAGGAAAATGTCCTGGAGGATATTTTCATCTTTATTCTGTCTTTAAAACCCGTTGCATCACTACTTCAAGGAACTGTGCCAGACCTCTTCACCAATACAGTCTGGTGATCTTCACTAGGTTTTCTTACACAAAACATATCTGAGACCAAGGAAGAGGACCCACCTCTGACTGGAGCACCGGACACATGCCAATCACTGAATAAAGTCACTATCAGTATTAAGGATAAATTATTTAAGTTTATAGTGTGAGGACTCCTTAATTTTCCTGTAAATAAAACAACAGCAGATAGGGGAATATGGCTCCCTAACTGTCAGTTGTTGGACTCCCTCTTGCTGCCTTGGCTACCTTGAACAAACAGACTGTCAGTCACATAGCCAGCTGGACTACTCTTAGACCAGCAACAGACTTTTAGAATATTCTAAGGATCCCTTAAGAAAACTATAGGATGGTCCCAGCTGATTTCCCCTGATCCTGAATGTACCCAGGGTTGTCTGAAAATATTACCAGTTGTTTTGCTATCACAAGCCCTGGTGAACCTTAGATGACCCCCAAACTACTTCTACATAGCCCAGAGGGAGTACACGTCCCTTGATGCTCAGAAAGGGAGATTTCTGTCACTGGTACGTAATAAGGCTATGAATGGTCCAAAACACAAGCCTCAGTGGCTCTGGCTGTGTAAGCAGGTTGCTGGAGCTCACTTACTGAGTTGGCTTGGACAAATTCTCCTATGCTTCCTTGTGATGTTGTAACATTAGGCCCGATAAACAACTTTTGTCAAATGGTCTTTCCTTACCTACATTTAGTAGTGCAGGCTGAGCTGATAACACAAAGCAGCAGCAGAGAGCAATGGGCAAAGGCATCATCCAAGCGGAAGCTATCAGGCCAAGAAAGATGGCTAACTGTTATCAGTTGAATATGAAGCTGCTGAAGAGTTCCAGAGCGGCCAGGGCAGGAAGCAAGGCTGCAGAATGAGCGACAAGACAGGAGCGTTGATGCTGAAGAAGCACAAAAGCCTGTACGAAGCTAGAAAAGAGAGCCTGCAGATCCGACTCACCAGCAGCATTCCAAAGGGCTGTGAAAAACTTAACGTCAAAGGCATCAGACCCCGAGTCAAAAGCTGTAACATGGGCACAAGTTAAAGCTTACAGAACACCAACTTACTGGGCCTACAAAAGAACTGCAGTTGATCCCGAGGGAGGCCGGGGATATGGCACAATGGGTAAAAGCACTTGCCACCCAACCTGAAGACCTGAGTTGGACCCCCAAGACTCATGATAAAAGAATAAAAACAAACTCCAGCAACTTGTCCTCTGACCTCTACCAGCATACCACGGCATGCACATGACCACATACTTATGTTTTTGATGATGGAGGAATCTCAATACATATGCTTACTCGAATGCTTTAATGCCAGCTGGAACCAAGGGATGCAGAACCCTACTTTCTCTGACCACCTTAGAGCTGCAGCACTTGTACGGTTAGTGACCTACGTACCCAAGACCGGATGCTTCCACCTGTCACAGAAGCTCTCTGCTGCTAAGCACCAAAGGCCAGTGGGCAGTCCTTGAGGTCACTCTTCTTGTTTACCAAGCTTGGGATCTAAGTAGAACAAAAGAATTACCATCCAAATGATAAAACGTATTTATTCTTACTCTTTGTGCTCTGATTGTCCCTGTTTAATATGAGATGGCAACCAGAAGGATGTAAAGGGCAAGAATAAAGCCCGATTCCTAAGTCAGGAGCCTCTCCAATGGTCAGGCCATCACAAGAGCAATCTCAGAAGCCTGTTTTGTTTTTGTTTTGCTTTGCTTTTTTTTTAAACAGAGTAATAAAAAATGTCACATAGGGCAGGCTGTCCTTGAATTCATAACCTGTGATCACCTCTCAAAAGCTGAAATTACATGCATGAAGAGATGGCTCAGTAGTTAAGAGCACCGGCTGCTTTTTCAGAGGCTATGGGTTCAATTCCCAGCAGCCGTAATTCACGTCCCCATCTATCAGGCACCTTCTCCTGGCAAAAAAATAAACAAGAAAACATTTTAACATTTAACATCTTGAGAGAGAGGGGGGGAGGAGATTGATTCCATCTTCCGGAGCTTGGGTTCAGGCTGTTGTGATCCATCAGAAGTAGGTGCTGTAATTTTTTTAATGTGTGGGGGTTGGGGGGTGTTCATATGCATGAGAGTGAACATGTATACCGGTGTCTAAGGACACAAGCAAACCCCAGTGCTATCTTCAAGGAGGCCATCCATATCCTTTGAAATAGATTCTCTCATTGGCCTGGAGTTCATCAATTAGGCTAAACTGGCTGGCCAGGGAACCCTAATAATTTTCCTATCTGTATCTGCTTTTTCCAGCACTGTGGTTACAAGTGTGTACATTCACCAGCCATTTTCATATAGGTTCTGAATGCAGGCCCTTCCTTATGCTTGGAACACAAGCACTTTAATGACTGAGCTTCATGGGGTGATGTGGGGAAGAGGAGTTGGGAACTGGTGAGCTCACATTCAGCAGGAGGTATGAGTGGAGGAGCATCTGGTTAATTGTCATCCTGGAGACCTCAGGCATCTGTTTCTTCAGGAGGCAAAGAAGGCAAGTTTCTAGGAAAAAAAAAATAGATCATTAACATCTGCCCTAGTTGTACTGTAAAGATGATGCACAGAGCAGAAGAGCAGATAGGCCCTTTATTGGGACATCTTGGAAAACTGGAAGGTGGAGGGTCCCAGCTGCTGGACAGACCATGTATCCTGAATAGGTGCCCACTTGAGCCTGGAGAGATGGTACCAGCATGGATGTCCTAGGAGCTTGGCAGCTGACAAGGTGGTGAGGATCACTGTATGAACGGAGAAGGGATCTCAGAAAAGAGAGGTAGGGGAGGTACCCAGCCAGTGGGGGAGTTTGGGCTGGGAGGGGGTGATTGAGGAGGAAGGGCCTTCAATAAAGGAGCTCAAAAGGGCTCAAACCTGTAGGAGAGCATGGGGTGGCACGGAGTCGGGTAAGGGCAATGGGGAGAAGGGAGGGCCAAGATTACCTGAGTTCAATGGAGAGCTTGGCGAGCTATTGTTTGGTGAGTCCATTGGCCTTCTCAAACTTTCCTGAGGATAGAGGTGTCAACCATAGTTACAAGGTAACACAGTTCTTTAGGTGTGGGCATGTGAGTGAAGTCCACCTGCCAATCCTCACCTGGTTGGTGTCCTCGAAGCTGGTGCAGAGGCTGACATATCTGGAGGGCCCCGTTGAATGGATCTGTGAAATACTCAGAAGAGTGTGGGGGCCAAGGTGAGTGTGGCCCCAAAAAGGCTAAGAACATTGCAACCAAGCAGAGGTGCAGGGCAAGCAGGTATGACCAGAAAAAGAGTGTGAGAAGACTCGTCCTGCAGGAATGCAGGGAAGTGTAAGGGTCTTAAGTGGGAAGAAAGGGATCCCGTCCACCCACGTGACAGAAATCGGTGAGGGAACCGTAGGACCCGAGTGAGATGTCAAAACAGAATAGGTAGTTCCCATGTCCAAAAGAAAGTCAGTGGACTTACCTGTTACCTGCAGGGTCACCCTAGGCTTGGAGAAGGCAATGGGAGTCAGCAGGTCTAGGCTGTGTCAGTTCTCCGCCAGGCTTGTGAGTTCTCAGTTGCCAGAGTTGGTGAGGCTGGACCTCCACAGCATGGCATAGAGGATGATCCTGCATGGGGGCATTCCGTTTTTCAGTGCCCAGGCTGTCGGCAGACAGGGCATGACCTTCTGGGCAGCTGGGGGTCAAGGCAATACCATGACCAGTGGCCCTGCTTGCCACATTTGAAACAAGTTTTTGGCAATGACTTGGGCTGAACTCCAGTGGGATGGAGCCTTGTGGCAGACTTCCCTTGTACCCCTTGTGGGGGCCCTGGTGGCCTCAGAGCAGCTGCTAAGGCTTGGGTTTGGAGGGTATTCTGTTGCAGCCTTGTCTGTTGGGTTGACTCAGCTATCATTCTCGAGCATCAAAAACTTTAAAAGCCTTTTCACCAATTCCTGTGGGGAGTTTGGGGATACTCCTCAGCCTTTTTTAATTTTTTCCAATATCTGGCACTGACCAAGAAATGAAATGGGTGGGAAGGCAGGAGTCTGGCAAGATTGAGTATGAGAAGAAATCTGGGAAATTTGGGGGTGTTAGGCCAATGTGTAGGTTGAGGCATTGGGAAATAGGGGTGAGCAGTGGGGAAAGGAGGGGACAGGAAGGAGGGTAAGGAGGAGGAATTTGGTCTTAGATTTGTGGCCCTGGAGGAGGGGGAAGTGGGGGAGGGGCCAGTGTCCCTGGCAGCATGGTCAGAGTGAAATTTTTTTTTTTGGATCCCAGTTCCCAGATAGGCGGGAATCTGGAGGTGCCATGACCCTAGCCAACAAAACCAGTGCTGTGAGACATTGGCCCCTGTAGGGAGGATGGGAACGCAAACCCAAAAACCGTGGATGTAGGGCAGTTCTGTCCAATTATATCAGATAGCCCCCAATTTGAATAGATTTTGTAAAAGATTTTGTAAAAACTCCCACAGGGGAGTTTGGGGATAAAGCTTTGAATGACAAGTGCCGTTTCTCAAGTCTATGCCGGGGACCTGAAGCCTAGCACAATGTGTCCACTGTAGTAAGCCCTGGGTCAAAAAAATGGGGATGTGTGGGAAATTCCCTTCAACAGAATGTCTTCTGGAGAAGAGGTCCCACGGAACAAAGGCAGCCCTTTGCTCCAGAATGGGTCAGGTGGAGCAAAGGCAGCCCTTTGCTTCTGAAAGGGTTGGGTGGCCTTGCACAGCCATGTCTCTGGCAGGACACCCAGAAAAACAAAGAGGCTCTGGGCCTCCTAGGCAATGACTTGAAAAGGAAATTTACCAAGCCGGGAGCCGATCTCAGTCTGGCAGAGAGCAGGTGTGGGGGAGAGCGGTGTTTTCCCGCTACGTGGCCCTGGGCCAGTGGGGAAAAAAAATCAACCCCCCCTCGGTGGAACCTCCAGATGGTAAGTCTTTTTGCACCCTGATAGGCCTCTCTGCTGACGCAGCAATCCAAATTAGACTGAATCAGAAAAGCCCAGCTTTAATGGGTAAAGCATTCTGGGGTGATTCCCCAGCCTCTCAGAGAGAAGACCGGGATGAGAGACCACAAGAACCACGTGTCTGCTTTCTGGGATGCAGCTTATATACCCTGTGGGAGTGGTCTTGAACCTCTCTGAGGGAGGAGCTGTGTTTGGTGGGCTTTGAAGGGGTGGGTTTGGGGAAAGAGATGGGGGAGGGGAGTTGAGGTGGATCTCCCACCAGAACATTCCAGACTCTTTGGGTATAGGGATGCCAGGGGTTGAGGTGGAGCTCCCACCCAAACAATCCCCAAAGAAATGCTACTCTGGAGTGTGGGAAAACAGCAACATTTTCACAGATTACCCTCTATTCATCATTCACCGCTGTTCCTTCCCATCCTGCCTGTGACAACCAGCAAGTAACCCAAAGGTGCCCCATGACATAAACACACTGGAAACAGCACACACCTCATGGGGACATCAACAACAGTCACCCAGAGTTCATTCCATTTTTCACTCCCAACTCCTCATCATCCACTCTCACTTCTGTTCCCCTATCTCTATTCCCTGGGTGGATGAATGCCTGACTCTGAGCTGGGAAAAAGACCTGAGATTCCCCGCTTCCTCTTTTCCCCAGTGTTGGTGATGGTGTTCCACCGGCCCTGCTCATGGCCTCCAGTAGCAGTGACACTGGCTATACTGGCCCTTCTGGGAGGCCTCAAGGATGGTCATCATTAGTGAGAGCTCTGTGTACTTCCAAGGGCAGGCAGGAAGTGCCAGGAAGGGCCCCACCTGTATCCCCAGTCAGGTTGATCCCCAAAGTTTTGGTTACGACCAGATTTTCAGCACATACCTAGTAAGCACAGACAAATTAAACCACAGATTCTGAAACTGAGTGGCCAATCTGTCAGTAAGTAAGCAGGTGAATTGGGAGGAGAATATTTGCTGGATAGCAACTCACCAAGTAGCTCTAGAAATCCTGGAATTCACTCTGTAGCCTAGGCTGGACTCAAAACAGATAGTCCAAGTGTTGAGGTAACAGGCATAAGACACAACAGTCCTTTTGAATTGCTTTGGTTTTATTGTTTTGTTGACTCCCTGGCTTTTCTCTTTGTACATTGTCCCATTTATTTTATTTGAAATGTTACACATTACCACTGTGTGCTTCTCACTGAGCTGGTAATTTTTAAGCAGCCCATGGACATGCTCCTTCTGAATGTTTGGATTACTCCACTGTACCACTATGTCTGCTTCAGTGGATTTCTTTGCTTTTATTTGTTGTGCATCTGTTTAATCTGGACTTTCCTTTGTTTGGTAACTTGCCTGGACAATGATCTGGAAGGCAGCCTGGAAGGAAGGCAGCTTAATTAACTTCCTGATAATATGTCCTGACCATTTTCAGGCTGGCAATAGGGTATAAAAGACAGATATAATTATCTAATTATCTGCCATTTTTCAGAAGACTATTAAAAGCCAGTCTCTAAAAGGCTTTATATGAACAACAACAACAACAACAACAAAAAAAAAAAAAAAAAAAAGCCGGGCAGTGGTGGTGCACGTCTTTAATCCCAGCAGAGACATGTGGATCTCTGTGAGTTTGAGGTCAGCCTGGTCTACAGAGTGAGTTCCAGGACAGTCAGGGCTACACAGAGAAACATTGTCTTGTAATAAGTTTTTGTCCTTACCCCAAAAGGAATAAGTGAAAATACCAATCTATGGAGTTCCATCAAATCAAAACTCCTCTGGATAGGTGAAGATGGGGTAGCTGAACAGTTTGAGATAGAAAAAAATTCCAAGATGTTGTGGGATATTTGTACACTGTGTAACAATGTATTGCTGTGACTGATGTAATAAAAATCTGGATGGCCAACAGCTAGGCAGGAGGTACAGGCAGGACTTTCAGGCAGAGAGAGAACTCTGGGAAAAAGAAAGGCAAAGTCACCAGCCAGACACAGAGGAAGCAGGATGGGCAATAAGGAGATTAGATAACAAACCACGTACCAGAAAGTAGATTAAAAAATACGGGTTAAGTTATAAGAACTAGTTAGGAACAAGCCTAAGCTAAGGCTGAGCTTTAATAGTTAATCAGTCTCCATGGGCTGGAGAGATAGCTCAGAGGTTAAGAGCACTGGCTGTTCTTCCCGAGGTCCTGCAAACACATGGTGGTTCACAACCATCTATAATAAGATCTGATGCCCTCTTCTGGCCTGCAGGCATACATGCAGGCAGAACACTGTATATGTAATAAATAAATAAATCTTTTAAAAAAATTAAGTCTCCGTGTCATTATATGTGAACTAGTGGTCACCACAAGAAAGTATGACTACACAAAGATACAGATAAATGCTGGAGAATTTATGGACTAGGGAACTCATGCAGATTATAGGAGAAATTAGTACTTCCCTTACTAATTATGCTATTTTAGAAATCCAAAAAGGGAAGAGAATAGATTATAAGTATGTAAATCCCACTTTCACAGTGGGTCTTATGAATAGAGTCTAGAGCCAGGTACATGTCAGGTAGAAGGAGTTCTACCACTGAGCTATGTCCCCAGCCAGGAATTTTTTATACACAAATGATATGAAATTGGTAACTGGAAGGGAAGGGATACATGCCAATACTGACTTAAGCCTTATCAAAATGGCAAAATTAATCATTTGTCAACTGATGGATGGAAAAAGAAAATTGTGGATATATACACAATGGAACACTTGATAGCCTTCAAAAAGAAGTAAATTCTGAGACCTGGGTGAGAGCTCAGTTGCTGAATTAATAAAGTCTATAAAATGCTTGCCCTGCAAGAACAAGGACCTTAATGCTATCCCCAGAACTCAAGCACAGAATACTGGGCCAAGGGACTATGGAGAAGTCTCAATCTGTAATGTGCTTGTCCCCTAAGCACGATGATCTGAATTCAACCTCCCAAATCCACATAAAACTACTGAAGGGGTAACTTATAATCCTACCCCTAGGGAGGCAGGACAACAGAAGCCCCAGCAGGTGCTGGCCAGTCAGACTGAGTGAATCATGGTGCCTCATTCAGTGTGTGATTCTGTTAAAAAAATGACATTGAAGATACCCCAAATCAATCTCTGACCTCCATATGGTACATATATATATGTGCATATGAATGTGATTATGCACCCACACACAAGCACACACTCGCACAGTGTGAACACAGTCCAGGAATGGAGTCATGTGAGGAGAATTCTGAGTATTAATAAGAACACTCCAAGAAAACAAGAGTCTTATGACCTCAGTTCCTTCAAAACATGGAATTGTTCTTGGAATGTGGGTTTGTGGTCCTCATAGGTGTAGCAAATAGGAATGAATTTACATCAGATTATTCATTATTGCTTGCTGCTGTTATTCAATGAAATGTTTAAACTAATCTTTCTATGCCTCTATGGAAAAACAGGTTTTTGCCATGTGTGGCTTATCCTTGTGATTGTATACAGCTTGAACTCATGAGGACTTTACTCATGTGATTCTTCTTAACCTTCAGAGTATAAATTGTCTGATTCTGTAAATAAAGCTAGCTACTGCATGAGACTTTAGTCTGCCTCATTTATCTGATCCATTCTCTGAGGTTCTACCACCTCTAGAGTGGACACATCGACACACAGACACACACAGACACACACAGACACACACACACACACACACACACACACACACACACACACACACACACACACACGAAATGTTGCCTGTGGGGCTGGAGAGATAGTTCAGCAATTAAGAGCACTTGTTCTGCACTGCATGGTGGCTCACAACTGTCTATAACTCCAGTTCCAGGGGATTGAAACCCTCCTTCCTGACCTCTAGGCATGCATACAGAGCACATACATACATGTGATCAGAACATTCATACACATAAAATAAAATAAATTAAATCTATTTTTAAAATGTTGGCACAGGGCTATGGGGATAAGAGGGAGATCCTTAGGGCACATGCCTACATGAGAGGTTCTAGGCCAATAAGAGACCCCAGCTAAAGAATAAAATTGTATGTATGGCCTCAAGAATGCTATGGAGGACTGCAAACAAAACACACATCTATTCACCTCAGAAATGGAACATACAAGAGTCTAAAGTAAGGACTGTACCAAAGTCTGACTTGGTGAACCAGTGAATTTTTACTGGGGTTACTAACAGGGGTATGGGTGAGAGATTACTTACTTCACCAAAGCCTACCTCAACATGGGTGATGTTCACAAAGGCTGCAAGTAACCCTGGAGCTCTTTTCAGCGTGCAGGTAGCTTGATAGTCGAAAACCTCTTCTCTCTGAGGTTGGGTTCAGCAGTCTCCAAACCCAGCAGTTGTTTACTCCTTTTTATACTGCTAGTGAGGCCCTGAACAATCTTCCAATTTTCTGTTCTCCCAGACATCTGTCTGCTCACAAGACTTCCCAATCCCTACCAGACAGAATGTTTCAATAGGAGGAAACCACCATACAAAAGCATGCAGTGGACATGTGCCTACATTAAAGCATGTGTGGGCAAACACATGCCCACATACATGCACTTACCCTGCCATTTGCAACAGCACAGATGACATATGTATGACATGAAAACAGCCAGGCCTGCACAGGACCAATTCTCTATCTTCTCACCTGTTGTAGAAATCGAAGTCAATCATATTCATGGCAGCAGAGTTGAATGATGTACCTGGAGGGTATAGAGAATGGAAAATAAAGAAATGAGTTGAATTTTCAATTAGATGGGAGGGATTTTTTTGAGATTACTGAAATGGATGGGGACTACTATTAACAACAGGGTGCCATATGTTTCAAAATCACTAAGAAAACATTTCAAATGTTCACATTAGAAAACAACAGTATTTTGGATGTCAGAAAGTTATTTCTCTTGATTTAATCATTCCATATTACACACATATAATACTGTGTCTCCATATACATACACAACTTTTCAGTGTACAAGACAACAGTGTAAATAAAATATCAAGAGTTTACATGTACTGTGAAAATAAGATGTATTTGCCTTCCTCTCTAGTGTGCTATCATTCATATCTATGCTCCCATACAGAAGTCCTGTATAAAGGGAGCTACAAATCAGGATTACTGAAGGAAATATCATGCTGGGAGTGCAAATGAGCCACAGCCCATAGCCTTGTCCCCGGCATCAGCAATACTAGTTTCCTAGTTCTAATCAGCGAATCCACAGCTTATTCCACAAGTGCCTATCTTCTTGAACTTCATTTTCTCTTTTTCTCTTTTAACACCATTACGGAAAGTGGGGAGACAACTGACAATTTCTGGTTTCCCAGATTCTGCCAAAACTATAGGCAGATTAAGAGTCATGGGAGCTGGAGAAATGGCTCAGCAGTTAAGGGTACTTGCTGCTCTTCCAAAGGACTTGAGTTCAGTTCCCAGCATCCACATCAGGTGGCTCACAACCACCTACAACTTGTGCTCCAAGAGATCCAACACCCTCTTCTGGCCTCTGTAGGCATCTGCTTACATGGCACACAACAAACACCAATGCATATAATTTGAAAAATAATAAAAATACCTTTGAAAATTCATGGTCATATCTATGTTTATATATGTATAATGTGGTTTTATAATGTATAATAATCCACGTGGAAGCCCATTCTCATCTAGGCCATGCCTTATGGCTGTAGGCTCCAGTAACACTTTCAGGTTCCCCAATTTCAGCTCTGTATTAGGCATCAGGAGAATAGTAGTGGAATCTCCAGGGAATTTATTTCAGATTTACATTCAGGTGCCCTCCACACAAAACTGACCAACCTAGCACTGTTTGTGCTAACCATTCCTTTTGCTGGGTTGGAGGCACAGAGAAATCTGAGAAGCACTAACTTTGACTGCTTGAACTTAGAGTGGTTTCTCTAGTGAACAAAGCAGCAGACTGGATTATCAAAATAATTGAAAATGCGTTTAGAGTTTAGGGCAGGTATGCAGTTCACAGTTGCAAGTTCGAGTTGGCTAGGGAAAAATGTGAATTGCAAATGTTCATGAGTGCTAAGCCCAGCCCTGAGTTCCTGTTATTACTGTCCTGACTAGAGATTACGAGCTATGTGGAGTGGGAAACCCTATCTATCACCAAGTAAGATAAATCCTTTTGTAGGTGTCCCGTTATTGCATGGGCAAGTGGTCTGACCAGGATTAAGCTGTATTGGGACATAAGTTACAGCCTGTCAGTCCAAGTTGGTGCACAGGAACCTAAATTTATCAGAAACATGCCTGAAAGAAAGTTTTACTGTAATTTATTTCTAAAGTATGTTTATGCACCAAAGTTTTAACATCAAAGTTCCTGTCCCAGACTCCTACAGGGTAGTCTGTGATTTCCTGATACAATATGGATTAGCCTCCAAACCATTATTTTTATAAATGTCTGTGCTTCAAAGCAGATGGCAACTGGTAGGCTGCAAAGGGCAAAAATAAAATGTTACTCCTTTTGCTCATCCAGAGCTTCAAAGGTAGTACTCACAAAAGCAGAGACTGGCACTTGGTACTTAACATAAATCAATCTGCTTACCAGCATCGGAACTGGAATCCAAGGCATTCAACTCATCTGTCCAGACACAACATAGATATGTGTGTCCTGGCTAGCAATAACTTTCTTACTGATCTTATCTTCCCTTAGTCTGTCCACTGGGGCCCTCCCTTAGATCCCGCCAGCTGCTCACCATAATAACCAGAAGATGCTCCAATCTTATCAACACACCAGAAATAGCAATATGGTTCCTCATGAGACTTCATCACTGGTTTGACACCATGGAGTTCCTGGGAGAGCCAACAGGTACTTGCACCCAGGCATTTTTTTATGCTAAAACATATAAAATATCTGGCCTACCCTTTTTTCATTTGTTGACATTTCCTCAAATCTATGTTTGAGGTACACTCTTATCATTTATTCCAAAGTGGGAATTCATTTCCATCTTCAGCGAACAGTATATTGTGACCCATTTTAGCTGCTGAATCAACCCTTGCTTTCAACGTACTATGTTCAATGTGTTAACCCTAAAGCTGTACCTCTTTAACTTCCATCATGTACCTAAGCAGGAGAGACATTTTATAACATTTTATAATCTTAGTTCCTGGTATAGAATCCCCACTGTTCCATTATGTTTGTACTTTTGATTTTTTGTTTTATTTTTTGGTAGGAAGTCAACATGCATCCCTGCTTGCCCTCAAACCCACGGTCACCTTTCTGCTTCATAGTCCCAAGTGATGGGATTGCAGGTCTAAATGCTACATGCTCAGCTGATACTTTTGACAACACAAAGCCATTGGGTTTGTTAAAGCCAATATATAAGACCTCCAACTGAAAAACAACTAGACAAGAAGGAAGAATGTGGAATAACATTATCAACAAAGATTTTTAGATTTGAACCCAAAAGCAACAAAAGCAACCATAGATAAACAGGATTATAACCATTAGAGTATAGAGACAGCATCCAGATGCTAATAAAACTAAAAGATTACTAAGAGGTTTGATATCAGTATCTATAAGGAATTCTATATAAAGCAGGAGAAAAAAAACTTAATTTAAAAATGACTAAAAAACCTTAATAGACTTCTAAGAGACCTTAGCACTTCTGACACCATGTTAGAGGCACCCAGCAAGTAGGTCCCAACACCTGTCAAAAAGGGAACAAAGATCTAGTACATCCAATACCTACTCTATAGTTAAGGTCCCTTGTGAACCCTGCTTTCTGGCTTCTGGAGTTCTGCTTCTTGCTAACTGAAGTGTGATAACCAGGATGTGGTTTTTGTGCATAAAATCCAAAGGGTTATAAGGCTCAGGGCTGCATGATTTGAGCAAGTTTCCCATGCAGATGCCAGCTAGCAATAAACACTTTCTTTTCACCTTTAAGAGTGCCTGTGTGGTGGTCTCTGGTGAGCTTACCTTGCAAGAATATCACTACATCAGTGCTATTTACAAACAGTTGGTTTCTTTGTTTTTTTCCAGACAAGGTCTCCTTATATAGGGCAGGTTTGCCTTTAAAATGTGATCTTCCTTCCTCTGCTTCCAAGTGTTAAAATTACAGGAATACCAGACCAGGCTCTACTAATGATAAGCTGTTTCTATTATGCTGGGGAGATGGCTTACTCAAGTAAAGTGCCTGTCATGCAGGCATGAAGACCTGAGTTCAATTGCCAGAACTCACCTAAAAATGTAGTGTGGTGGTCCTGCCACTATTGGGCAGAGAAAAGCAAATCCCTGGAGCTTGCTGGCTAGCCAGCCTAGCATAACCGGTGAATCCCAGGCCTGTAGGAGACCCTGTCACAAAAAACCAGGTGAACCTGGGTGTGTGGGGCACACCTTGATATCAGACAGAGGAACACAGTATGACCCTGTCTCAAACAAACAAAAACAAAAATAAGGTGGATGGTGCCTAAGGAAGGACACAGGGTTGACCTTTGGCACACATGGGCATCAGTATTCCATGTCACATATAAACAAAATTCAATTGGGAGTGTTCTAGGCTTCCTAGAGTTCCCCACTAGTATGGGTTCCCAGGAATTACTATTCCCACAAGAAATACCATTTGGGTAGTGGTAATGGGTCAACCCAAAGGTCCTGGTACCTGGTTTTTGGTACGTGGAGGAAGACCTAGTTGCCAGTCCTTATAACCTGAGTCCATAGCTCAAACTATAGACACACATTTCCTGATATGTGCTTCATTTTTTCCCCTATAATTTGTAACACTGCTTTGGGTAAGGCGGAGACAGACTTAGAAGGCCTTGCCTCAGTTTTAATATAAAAGAATAAATAATGTTTTCTTGTTACTATGAGGGAGCACTCTGACCCAGGTCAGCAGGAACACTACCTTGGTAATTTACCCTGAAGTCCTCCAGTAACACTTTCAAGTTTACATGTCAGCTCTGTTCCGGGCTGTGTTCAAATGTTTGGCATTGTGGCATGACGTTAGGGTCTAGCAATGTGTTGGGCCATATTCATGGCTATGCTGATACACATGTGAGACACAGGTTGGATAGGAATGGCAGGCAGCTCAGCAGTTTTCCAGCGGTGGTCCTATGGTGGTCCAGTGCTTTTTCCTGGAAATTGTTAGAAATTTACATTCTGGAAAACATCCCACAAAAGCTGATGAAACACCTCTATCAGTGACACCCATCAGTCTGTGTTTTTAACAAGTCTCCCAGAGAAATAGGATGCTCAGAGAAATTTAACTTGGATTACCTGCTACACTCTGGTTCTCTCATTAACAAAGCAGCAGGCCAGACAGTTCTGAAACATGAAAAGTTTGCTTAAGGTTTTGATGAGCGCAAGATCTCATGCTGGTACTGACTTGGTTTACAAAAAAACAAAAAAAAAACAAAACAAAACAAAAAAAAAACAGCTAACACAGAAGAATTGCAAATGCCCAGAGAGCTGCAAATTCTCTCACCAGCAATAAACCTCTTTGGACCTCCTCCACTCCCTATCTGCCCCCCCCCTCAGCCAAACAGCTGCACTGGGAGCTAAAAGCCCCGAGGGAAAATTGCCCAAAGGAAAGTTTTGCTTTATTTTCTGTCCAAAAGATTTGAAAGCGGTCCAAGAGAGCACTCTGCCGGTCCTTCCCCCCAGGGCAGTCTCCAGGTCCCTAACTCTGTGTGCTATAATTGCTCCAATTCAAAAGCAAATAACAACTTCAGACAGTAAAGTGCGAAAATAAAGCCTAATTTCCCCCCTGCTCACAGACGATAGGGAAGCTACAGAACACACCAAGAGCAGCATTCGATAATTTGTCCCACAAAACAACAATCCCACCCAAGGCTGAATGAATCTAAAACCCAGATCATTTCATACAAACGCGACATAGGTGTGTGAGTACAGGCCAGCAACACTTCCTTCCCGAGAAACTTTCTTCGCTTTATCTTTCAGAGTCCATCCTTGCATTCCGCTGGGCGCTAACTGCAAACAACCTAAAAAAGAAAGAAAGAAAGAAAAAAGACCCCCCCCCCCAACTGAGATCAACACACCGGAAACAGCGATACACGCGGATGTGGCGTCATCAACAGTCGCCGCGAATTCCTTCTGTCCCTTGTTCCCCCTCTCACTTCTCTTTGAATCTCTTATGGCTGTACGTTTCTAGCCATGAACCAGAAAGACGTGCCGCGACATCCCATCTTGTCCTTTCCCCTGCGGCCCCCCGAGGCGGAGGCAGCGGCAGCAGCGGCAGCGGCAGTAGCCACGCTGTACCGTCCAAAGGCCTCTGGGAAGGTCACAGCCCCTGAGAAGCTCGCGGCATCCTTCCGGTACCACCCAGAATACCGTCCCGCCGAGCTTTCTGCCGGCATCCCCAGCCTGCTCCAACCTCCAGTTAGGGTTTGACCCCGAGATTTGCGAGGCGTTGGCGGGCCAGCTCACTGTTGCAGCCGAGCATCTTTTATGCCAAAGCATATAAAATGACTGTCCTGCCCCTTTCTCATTTTTTCGAGGTTGATTCACAAGGTTATCAATCATTTTGAAGTTGAAATTCATTTTCTTTTTCTTTCTTTCTTTTTTTTTTTTTTTTTTTTTTTTT